CACTGGATAGGAACACTCTGAAACAGTTTTTCCTGTTTCTTTCCTGCCTCCCCTCTTCCTTCTCTCCCTTCCTTTTTTTTTTTTTTTTGAGTCCGGTTGTGGGGCCTGAACTCTGGGCCTGGGCGCTCACCCCAAGAATAGCTCTCAGCAATAATAACAATAATAATTACAATTACAGGCCACAAGAATCAATGGATCATTCCCTTCCTTTTTTTTTTTTTTTTGGTGTGGTAGTACTGAAGCTTGAACTCAGTATCCCTTACTCCACCATTTCTCCTGAAAGCTGACCAACCTATTTTCCAGTAGAGGTAACTAAGGTTCAAATAGCTCAAGCTGGTTATTTTTGCCTTTCTTATTTTTTAAAATAGGATCTCACATTTTTGCCCCAGCCAGCCTGGACCACAATCCTATTTATGCCTCCTTGGTAGCTGGGATAAATGCACACCATAATATCCAGCTTTATTGTTTGAGATAGGGGTCTTGCTGGCGTTTTTCCTGGCTGCCTAGAACTGTGATCTTCTCTGTCTTCGCCTATTGAGTCATTAAGATTACAGGCATGAGCCACCACACTAGACAAAGACGTATTCATGATATGCCATTTCACCATAAGGCTCTGGTAAGGAAGCAGAGTCCTTGTATCTGGTTTTGTCCATACCTGCTCCTTGTACACAGTGAGACTACCTCCTCTGCTCCACAAGTGGGTAAGCCAATGGAGGCTATGGTCCCAGCCCTGGGTAGAGGCTGAGGCTGAGCCAATCTAAGGCCTCCCTCCCTGCTCCCTAACATCTGGGTTCCTTGTAGATAAGGCTACATCATTTTCAGAAGCCTGCAACCACCCAACAGCTCAGGTAAGACTCCATCATGAAAAACATAAAAGTGCTGTTGGAGGGGCTGGGGATGTGGCTCAGTGGTAGGGCCTGGCCCTGGGTCATCCCTATTGGTGACATGCCCAGACCTTATGTGCACATTCTGGGAGACATGCAGGGTCCTCACCTCTGACTCTTGGGAGACAGGGAAAACAGAGTTAATGACAGAGTTGGTTTGGGAGTCCATCCACTGTTCAGATGAGACAGGACAGACACTCCCCGGCTGTCCCTGTATGTGTCTGGTGCTCCATCTACACGGAGAGGCTGTAGCAGCTGGGGGAGTCTGTGTTGCCCCTAGCACAGAGAAGGGGCCCAACAGGAAGGCTCTTTACTCCACCATAGGAGGCCCAGTGCCCAACTTTGCACATTGCCCAGCACACAAAGTCTGAAGAAAAGGCCACGTGGTGAGAGAAAAATACAGAGGGAGACGTGAGATGGGTCTGAAGCTCAGTGTGGCTTAGACAGCTGCTGGCCCTCTCTAAGCCTATCACAGAGGAACAATGGTATCTGTGGGCTCCTTTTTTTTGGGGGGGTGGGTTGATGGTACTGGGGCTTGAACTCAGAGCCTTCCACTTTTTTTTTTGGTCGGTTGTAGGGCTTGAACTCTGGGCTTGGGCACTGTCCTGGCGCTCTTCAGCGCTCAGCGAGCGCTCTACGGCTTGAGCCACAGCACCACTTCCAGTTTTCTAGTGGTTTGTTGGAAATAAGAGTCTCACAGACTTTCCTACCCAGGCTGGCTTTGAACCACAATTCTCAGATCTCAGCCTCCTGAGTAGCTAGGATTACAGGTGTGAGCCACGGGTGCATGGCCAAGCCTTGCATTCTTGCTTGACTTTTTCACTCAAGGCTGGCACTCTACCTCTTGAGCTGTATCTCCATTGGGGGTGGAGGGGGATATTGCTAGTTAATTGAAGATAAGAGTCTCATGGATTTGTCTTCTAGGGCTGACTTTGAACCGAGATCCTCGGATATTAGCCCCTGAGCTTGTCTGTGGACTCTTGTGGGGAAGGACACAGATGAGGGAAGTGGCAATATGTCTATAACACATGTTGTCCTATTTCACCTGGCCATCCTGGGAAGGACTGGCTGTTCTCCTGTTCCTCAGAGCCCACAGTGCTGGCTGCTCCATGCTGTGGGACCTGTACCCAGGAGAGGAAAGAGCTGTTCTCCCTCACCAATATGGAGTCTCTGATGGAGTCTGAGCAGGGAGATACCCATGGGCCCCTATGGAAGTGACTTGTGCTCCTCCTGTCCCTGCCAGACCCCTCCCCGTATGGGGACAACACACTACTGGAGGTTAGGGGGATCTTGGCAGACTCATAGGGGCAACGGGGAGGCCATTAGCAATGGTGGTCACAGAGCCTCCCAGGGTCCATCCCCAAGGACATCACTCAGAGCAGCAGCCAGGGAACACCTTACAGACAGGAATGGAGAGGTGGGTAGGGACAATGGCAAGGACCCACTGTAGGATATTCCACTGCTGGGGAAAGGTTGGAAGTGGGACTGAGCGGTGTTTCTACCATCTGTCAGGACAGAGAGGCAGAGGTGTGGGTCCTAGGTGTGTGGCTGGGCATCGCACCTGCTCCCTGCACCTGCTTTCATGCCTGCTCCTCATCGCTTTCCACCTCAGGGAGGTAACTCCCTTCAGAGGCTCTGGTCCTTAGAGTCCCTATTTCCAATGACTTTGGGTGAATCAGGACAGTCAGTAGAAGCAGAGGCTATGAGAAGTCAGGTAACATGAGGCAAGAGATGCAGTCTCCGAACCAAGTTCTGCGGTCTGTTATAGAGGTAGCTTTCTAAACCGAGTTTGCAGCAAAACGCACCCTTCCTTATTGTCAGGGGAAAATGACCTTCATTTCAACCAGGTAATATCAGATGAGAAGATTCAGATCTCCAGCTGCTGTGCATGCCGTGCCCATCTTGGGCATCGAGAGGGCAGCAGGACCACCCAGGATCGACAGCACCTTCCCAGAGATGCCTCAGCACTCTGGCTCTGCTGCACCTCCCGCCAGGCTCTCCTGCAGCTCTAGTCTGCCTCAGGTGAGCCATTCCACCTGAGCAAGCAGAAAATAAATGCAGCAAGTGTGGGCTGTTTTTAAATCGGCTCTGTATCACTGCGGCAGGCCACCCAGCACCCACCAAAGACCTCAGGGGCTGGGAGCTCAGGGAGTCTGAAGAAGAACGGGGCTGCTAGCCAGGAGAGATGGCCTTGGGAGTGGACTGAGGCTGGTTGAGGGTGGACAGAGGATGATAAGAGAGCAATGGGAGTCTCTACTGGGCAGGGGGAGGGGAGGAGAAACCCAGAGGAGGTTAAACAGTCCCCTCCCCCCGCCAGTAGAACTGCTTGTCAGCAACAAAACAGGCCCCATGATAGAAATGGGCTTTCTGCAGTTTTCAAGGTAGGGCTGGGTGTCCTCAGGTTCAGCACAAGGGATCTGTGACCACCAGTCCCTCCAGTACCTCCTCCCTGCAGAAGGTGCCACCACTGCCACAGCTGGAGGCTGCCAGCCCTGGGAGGGTCCCTGTGAATGAAGACTTGGCACACGGTGACCTGGGGGCTTTGCACAGGGGCTGGGTGAGTCATGGGAGAAGTGTCAGCTAGGCCTACTGCTGATGGGGGAGAATCCAGTCTAGCTAGCAGCAGTCACAGCAAGTGACTCAGTCATCTTGCATGTCACACCATCGCCTGGCCCTAGGTGAAGTGGGCTCGTGACAGCCTGTATCACATCAGCACCAAGTCTCTAGAGCCAGCTGGAGGGTCAGCACTTCGAGGCATGGCTTCTTCCCAGGATCCCAGGTGGCTTCTAGTCACCTGGTGCAGTGTCATACACTGCTAGTCAGAGACTTGCAGATTCTCCTCAGCTGGAGAGAAGGATGTAGCAGTGCTAGGACCAGATGGTGCTGTGAAGGGCTGGGAAGGTGGCTCAGTGGTAGAGCACTTGCCTTGCATGCTCGAGGCCCTGGGTTCAATTCCTCAGCACCACATAAGAAAAAAGAAAAAAGCTGGAAGTGGCGCTGTGGCTCAAGTGGTAGAACAACAGCCTTGAGCTGAAGAGCTGAGGGACAGCGCCCAGGCCCAGAGTGCAGGCCCCACGACCGGACCCTCCCCCCCACAAAAAAAAATTGGAGCTGCCCAAACCCAGAGAGGCCCCCTCTCCCTGAGCTGGGGTGGCCCATACTAAACTGGTGAGACTCCAAGCTGGAAAGCTGGAAAGCTAAAAAGCTGGGCTGACATCCTTCCCCTTGTATTTTCTCCAACTGGCTCCACCCCCAGGCAGCCCAAGGAGTGCTTGTCAAGGTGCTGATGTCATACAGCTTTCCAGGAGAGCCCAGCTTTCCATGGGACAAGTTAGGGGTGTGGGCAATCTATATGCTCTTCAAGGACGCCGGCTCCTAAATCTCAAGAAGACATCAGGAACTGGGTATAGTGGCACATGCCTCTAATTCCAGCACTAAGGAGGCAGAGCTGGGAGGAATGTAGGACTGAGGCCAGTTTTAGGCAGTAGCTGGTTCAGGTTGTCTCTTACCAAGTGTCAAAAGCAGAGGCTATAATCACAGTTTTCCAGATCTTATTTTGTCTTGGGAACACAGAGGACAGGACCAGCCTACACCTGTATGGCCAGAAGCGGGGAGAGGGCTGTGGTTTAGAGAAAGGGGCTTGAAAGCAGGGTAGGGCCCAGCATTCCATAGGCACCACCCCCGCCACCCTCAGGGCCATCTTGCCTTGACCCCATGTGGCATCCTGTGCAAGGCCCAAGCACAGAGGACTGTACCCCTCAGCCCAGCTCCTCAGGGTGTGGAACCCCCACCCCAAACACTCCTGTGACATAGTTCCTTGGGACTATACACTAGAATACCTTGGGGTATAGGGCTGGGAAAGTGGCTCAGTGGTAGAGTGCTTGCTTTGCATGCCTGAGGCCCTGGGTTCGATTCCTCAGCACCACATAAGCAAAAAAGAAAAAAGCCGGAAGTGGCGCTGTGGCTCAAGTGGTAGAGTGCTAGCCTTGAGCTGAAGAGCTTAGGGACAGCGCCCAGGCCCAGAGTTCAGGCCCCATGACTGGACCCAAAAAAAAAAAAAAAAAGAATACTTTGGGGTTTAGTGAGAAGAGGCCAAAACATAAGGTTACGTGTGAACAGAATTTATTTCTCATGCGTTCATTGAACATCAAGCCTGCTGACTCCTGCTGGGCCCCGCGTGGGGTCTGGAGATAGGAAGGGAGCGGCTCTGGTGCTGGTCCACAGGCAGGGCCAGCATATCATCCCCCAGCACAGAGCCCGGGAGCCACTGGAAGCTGCTGAGTGTGCTGATACATGATGGACCAGGTAGAGAGAGCAGATGAGGTGGCAGGCAGGCCAGGTACCATATGGAGATAGTGAGGGCTCCTGCCCACCGGAGTACCTCATGTCCAACATCATGTTCCCGGCCCTCCTTGCTAATGGGCTGTGGGCTCTAGGACAGGGCACCCCAACAGCTAAGGAACCTCCCCCGAGGGTCCACCTGAACAATGGCCTCAGCTCCTTCCTGAAGTGATGCCCAGGGGTTCTTGGCAGCAAGGAGCCGCTGGCTGAGGTCATCAGAACTACCTGGGAGCAGGGTCCCTAGTGCCCAGCCCTGCCCTGAGATCAGGTTAAGGCCTGGCAGGGCTGGGGAAGGGGACATGCAGCAGGAAGTCACCTTGGCCTGGCTGTGAAGGAACCCCCAGTCCAGAGCACTAGCCATTGGACCCCACAGGCCCCCGCTAGGAACCCTGAGGTGGAGGCCGTAGGAAAGGAGGATCAGCGGGGCCGCTTGCTATCCAGGATGGCCTTCCAGTCGTCCGCCCATGAGTGCATCCTGCGGCGAGGAGGCTGCAGCTGCAGGTGCTGGTTGTGGCAGGCTGTGAAGAGGATATGCTCCCAGGTGGGCTGTGCCTCCACACCTGTATGGGAAAGTGGCATCTCAGTCCAGAGCCCGGGGCTCACACAAGCACCCATCTGGCAGATGGTGTGAGGACTCACACACAGGAACTGCTCTGCACAGTTTCTGTGACTGTCGGCGACTTCATCTCCACCCTGCGGCTGAAGGGTCTTTGCCAGTCTGCCCTGCTCAGCCACCTGTGCTGGACTGGAGTGGCTGACACCAACCGCACAGGCTCTTTGAATATCCACACTTGCAGCTCCAGACTGGACATGTGACAAACACCTGGTGAGACGGATTGGGCAGCGGGCGCAAGGAAGCGGCCAAGGGAGTATCCCTCAGAGGAGGAGGGCATGAGGCCCAGGTGAGCCCACCTGCTCCTCCCCCTACCACAAGACACTTGCCTAGGATGTCTGGCCGGTCGTCGATGAGAAGGTCAGCAGAGACTACAGTCTTATCTCTGGTGAGCACTATTTGCTCCAGAAAGTCAGGGCCTAAGTGCTTCTCCACCCAGGCATACTGCAAGGACAAGATGAGAAGAAAGTGACATCAGATAAGGGAAGGAAGGGGGCTAACACGGAGGGCTGGGAGGAAGACTGTCAGCTCAAGAAGCTGACGCTCAGAGGGACACATCTCTTATCCATATTCTACAGTTAGAGTACGGCGGAGTCACTGCTGAAACCCAGACCTAAATAGAAAAGCTAAAAATGTACAAGTTCTGCTCATTATAAGATGCTGTTAAACGCCAGGTGTGATGGCCACACCTGTAATCCTGGCACTTAGGAGGATGATAAATCTGAGACCATCTCAAAAACAGAACACTATGGGAGGTGCCAGTGGCTCACAGCTGTAATCCTAGCTACTCAAGAGACTGAGATCTTAGGGTTGCAGTTTAAAGCCAACCCAGGCAAGAAAGTCCATGAGACTCTTATCTCCAGTTCACCACTAAAAAGCCAGAAGTGGAGATTGTGCTTAAGTGGTAGCGTGCCAGCCTTGAGTAGGGACAAAGCCCAAACCCTGAGTTCAAGACCCAGTACCAGCACAAGAAAAAATAAAATAAAACTCCATGTAGATGAAGAGTTGTTGGAGGGACCCCAGGAGGCCCTGACTCCAAGACAACCTGGAGGGAAAGCAGGAAACTCATGAAACCCACCACCCCGTGAGCCAAGACTAGAACTGTTCCAAAAACAGAAGCAAAGGGATAGACAGGGAGGTTCTCCACTTCACCTCCCTGCCCTCCCCAAGTCACGTGGCTTACAGGCTGAGGATCAAACTCAAATCTCAGAGATGGAGATGTCCAAGCCAGACATGGTCCATGCTATGCAAAGGCTGGATGGGCCCCTCCCCAAGTCCACTCAGAGAAGCAGAGCCCAGGCAGCCTCAGGCCCCAGGGATGGGTGGCATACAAGACTAGAAGACTACTGCCATCAAGCCCAGAGGTTTCAGGATGGGCAGCTTGACCTAAGGCCCTAGAGAGGTACCACACACGTTATCCACCACCCCTGTTGTGAAGATGAAATGGCCAGATATAAGTAGCAGAGCACAGACCACTTGGGAAACATTAGCCAGCTGAACAATAACTTTAGATGTCGTTCACAGGCTAGGAAGTCCACACACTTACAATTGTTCTAATGTAACCATTGTGTCACAGTACAGCTGATCCTGATAAAGGTCCCCCCACCAGACAAGGACAGCCACCCTTCTGCGGAGTATTCTAAAACTGTCATGTGGGTGAAGCCAGCAGACAGTAGTGCCTCGCTCTGTTTCCTTTAGCTTTAGGTGAGACTTCCTAAAATCTCTGGCAAAAATTAAGACTTTGTTCTTCATGCAGTCATTTTATATTAAGAAAGCTGTTTCCATTCCCCTTTTGTAGTCATTTTGAATTACCATTCCCATGAACACAGTTTAGTATATCCCTGGCATTATGAGACCATTACTACACCTCACTATAGAATGTTCCTATAGCCCCATACCTATCAGCATGAAACATCAAATTTTTAAATAAATATTGGAGCTACGGGTTGAAGGTCTGTCCCACTAAAACTCAGGTTGGAGCTAAAGTTTCAGGTGAGACAGTGGTCTGTGGTGGGTGAGGTCTGTGGAAGGAGTTTCTGGAGAAGAGCCTGCAGGAGGCGGGGCATGGGGACAGTGTTTAGCTCAGGGTGGAGTCTCTCCCTTCTCCCCTCCCCCCCCCCACTCCCCGGTTGTGGGGCTTGAACTCTGGGCCTGGGAGCTGTCCCTCAGCTCTTCAGCTCAAAGCAATCATTCTACCACTTGAGCTACAGCACCACTTCTGGTTTTCTGGTGGTTAATTGGAGATAAGAGTCTCACAGCCTTGGGGGGGAGGGGGGAGGCTGGGAAGGGATGTAAAGGGTAAACAAAGGAGGAGGCTGCAATGCTTGGTAAGAAATGTACGCATTATCCTGCCCATG